GATGTGTTTGTTTTATTTATAGCTGTGATCACGGCATCTGAAAATACCATTTTGTTCTGTCCTGTAATGAGCTTAGGAGGCTGAATAACAATAGCTTGTCTGGGCGGTTTCCTGCATCTTTAGCAAAAATCCCCCAACTTGCTTTCTTGTAAGTGTGAATTTCTTTGTTTTCGGCTTTTCTCATCTTCTTCTCTGAACTTTCGTTTCGGTGAACACTGCTTCAATTTTCAGAGTCTGATTATTGGTGTTTTAGGGACTTCTCCTATAACAATCTCAGTGGACCTGTGCCCAAGTTCCCTGCCAGAACTTTCGAGTATGATTTGTTTGCTGCACCTATCTGATCAATTATTATGATCATTTTGTTTTAATTTTGCCTATTGGTGCGTGGATTGTAGTATTGTGGGAAATCCATTGATTTGTGGAAGCAGCTCTACTGAAGTTTGCTTGGGATCTGCCGATGCCACTCCCTATTCATTTTCCCTAGGTTCATCAAATGGTAACTCTCTTCAAACCCTTTTGTAACTCTCCACAACTATTCCTCCTCTTGTTAATGGTTTTATATATATTGCTTTTTCGCCTCATGAATCAGGGGAACAAAATTCCAAGAGGCTAGGCGTCGCACTCGGAATCAGCCTCAGTTTTGCCTCTCTTATACTCACATTTGCCGTACTGTGGCACAGAAAGAAACGGAAAAGGCTAACGAGTCTGAATATTAGTGGTTGGTGACAATGACTATATAAATGTTAATAGTTTCCTTTTATACGCTTGTTTAAAGTGATCTAAAATCGTGACATGTATATTGCAGACAAACAGGAAGAGGGCCTTATTAGATTTGGTAACCTTAGAAACTTCACTTTCAGGGAACTCCAGCTTGCTACAGACAACTTCAGCTCCAAGAACATACTAGGCACAGGAGGTTTCGGTAATGTCTACAAGGGAAAGTTCGGAGATGAGACTCTTGTGGCCGTGAAGCGGCTAAAAGACTTGACGGGAAGTTTTGGGGAGTCGCAGTTCGTGACTGAGTTGGAGATGATCGGCTTAGCGGTTCACCGTAATCTGCTTCGTTTAATTGGATATTGTGCTACTTCTAATGAGAGACTTCTTGTCTACCCGTACATGTCTAATGGAAGTGTGGCATCCAGGCTCAGAGGTTGGTCCTAGTTTTACTTTGCTGTAACTTCTCTCATTCAATTCTCATGCCGGACAAGTGGATTGCCTATTTTCTACGATGAATAACTGCACAACCACTGTATTGTTGCACTTTCAATGTCTACTATTGCCATGGACCACCATTGCTTGAAATGGGAAAAATATGGTCCAGTATGTGGATCCTAACCATGTTTAGAGTAATTATTCCATTCTTTTCTTTTAAATTAATTTACTGTTCACAATAGTTTTCATTAAATGTTAGTCTAATTCTTGTAGACAGTACTTTTTGGGCTCATTTTTACAATCCGCCTTTCATGTTTAGTCATTTCTTCCAATTATATATTAATATAATAAGCTATTACTGTATTTTCATTTCTTGACTCTAATTTATTGTTCCTCTAATGTAAATGGATTGAGTTTTGGCAGGAAAACCGGCTCTAGACTGGAATACAAGGAAGAGGATTGCGATTGGAGCTGCGAGGGGACTTCTTTATCTACATGAGCAATGTGATCCAAAAATAATCCACAGAGATGTGAAGGCAGCTAATGTTCTTCTGGATGATTATTGTGAAGCTATTGTTGGTGACTTTGGCCTAGCGAAGCTCCTTGATCATGCTGATTCCCATGTCACAACTGCTGTTCGTGGCACTGTTGGGCACATTGCACCAGAGTACCTTTCAACTGGCCAGTCTTCAGAGAAAACTGATGTGTTTGGGTTTGGCATTCTCTTGATAGAGCTCATAACTGGAATGAGAGCTCTCGAGTTTGGAAAAACTGTTAGTCAGAAAGGAGCAATGCTCGAATGGGTTAGTTTACTCACCAACAATAAAAATATTAACTCTTGCTTTCTATTAGTATCAATTAGTTGATACCTTTGCATGGAAGTATCAGCTTAGAGCATAAAACGATATATATATATGAAGAGCGTTGATGGAGTAACATTGGGAATTTTATGGTGACAGGTGAAGAAAATACATCAAGAAAACAAAGTGGAAGTATTGGTGGACCGAGAGCTAGGGAACAACTATGACAGGATCGAAGTGGGGGAGATGCTCCAAGTGGCTTTGATTTGTACTCAGTACCTTCCGGCCCATCGTCCAAAAATGTCTGAAGTGGTCCGGATGCTCGAAGGTGATGGCCTTGCTGAGAAATGGGCGGCATCACATAATCATAGCAATTCCATTTTGATCCACTTTCCTAACAGCTTCGGTAACAAAAGTATGCATCCCTCTACCACTGGATCAAAACATGATGGAAAGAGTTATGATGATGAATCAGGCAACATGCTGGGAACAGGAATAGATGACGACGATGAACATTCTTTGGATTCCTATGCCATGGAACTCTCCGGTCCAAGGTAAAAAAGAGGTGAAAGTGAAATATATATATAGAGAGAGAGTGTGTGAATTCTTTATTAGATTCTTTACAAGTTACCCAAGTTTGAAAAGAAGAAAATGGTGCAGTGCAGGCTTGTCTTTAAAAAACTTTGATGTTAAGATTATATAAATTCTGGGATTGTAATGTAAATATCCATCATACAGTTTTATGTTGGTTTTTATCTAACTTTTTGTTCTGGCAAATGAGAGAAGGGTGCAATGAGCACTGTTGCAGTAGGTATTTGCAAGGGAGAAACAAATGGCATCAGAGTCTCTGCTCCCAAGTGTGAGACAGAGACTCGAACACTGTGATTTTGACAGTTTTGACTTTTAAAAAATGGAATATGTTATATTATATTATGCTTTTTTTTTTGTATTTGCTAGATATTTGTGCTGTGAAAGTGAAAGGGAAAGGGAAAGGATAGTTGCCAATGGTCTGTTGAGTCTGAGTGAGGTGGGGGATGCTTTTGCAGTATCATGCATGCCCTTGTTGTTGGCTCTGTCTCTTTCACTCGATTTGGTCCTTCAAAGTTGAATCCTTTGCTCCTCCTATGAACTCTCTCGTATTGTTCTTTAGAGGTGTAACTTTGCTTTTGTTTGTCCTTCTGCTGTGACTGGGGAATATCGTCATCTTTTCATCATTTAACTTCTCATGCGGTTATTCATGGAATCATGAATTTACTGTTACTATTCATCTTTGTTTGAATCGGTAATTTTGGAAGAACATATAAATCGACACTTTACAACAGCAAATAATATACAAATATATTGTATATAATATGAATTATTAATGCATTGAAATAATATGAGCATGATATTAACATTACGTCTATAGTTTCTATAGGTTGAGTCTCTTGAGAAGTCGAGCTAAAATATAAAATGTTGAAAGGGTCTAAACTAAAGATTTTGTGTTAGGAAGCTTAAATTAAATTAGTGATTTTAAGATGGACTAAATATGTTAATTTCCCACCATTTAATTAAGGGGTAATCTAAAGGTTGAAGGACTTAAATTAACATAATATTTTTTTTGAAAAGGACTAATTGTATAATTTGCTCAAATCAGGAGAGGCCAATCCATTTGTCTTCTAGGTTCGCCCCAGGATCAATTTTTTGTCGGTGAAAGTAGTTGAGTGATGCCATGGTGGGTTTATTACTTTATTATACAATGGTCGTTTTTTTTTTTGTGGAAAACTCGATCCAACGTGAGATGATATCTTTTATTTGAACTGATTTGAGTTTAAGAAGATTTTATATTATCTAAAATTTAACTCAAATTTTGAGATAAAATTTAATATCAGATTGGATATAAATTTTTTATTTAGTGAAGAGCCCAGCTAATTGTTTGTGTGTGTTCTGTGGCAACGAGCCTGAGTGGACTTTTTATCTGTTTTTTCAGTGCAGTGTGGTCTGGAATGTTTGACAAAGGTGGTTCACTTTTTGGAACCTTCAATTTGTGTGTCCAGGTGATGTTCGTTTATTTCTTTCTGCTTGGGGATGAGGTTCCTGTCTCTAGTTCCTGCAAGAAAACCTGGAACGCAGCCTTCTTCGGTTTCACTTGGTCCATTTGGGTTTGTAGGAAAGATGTGTCGTTTAACGAGAAAATCTGCAGAACGCTTTTGTTCCTATTAGGTAGCCTTGTTTCGGTGCTGGGAGATTGATTTTCTCTTTGGGTGTGCTGTCGAGGAGGGGGGGGGGGTTGATGTCCTATCCTCTCTGGTGTTATTGTGCTCGGTGTTGCAGGTTTATATTTTCTGATTTTGTTGGCTGTCTATGTGCTTCGCGAGCACATATGTGCAGGTTGGGTAGTCTGGTTTTAGGTGGGTTGCTGTGTTGCGTTCGTTTGGTTTGTTTGTAGTTTTTGCTGTGTGTTTTCTGGTGGGTAGGCTTGGCGATGGTATGCGACAGCTTCCATGTCTCCAATCGTGGTGGTCTGTGGAACTGTTCTTGTGTGGTTGGCTGTGTTGTCGTGGGGTGAGGCGGGGCTAACCTATTTAGCTCGATATGGAGTTATATTGGCCTGTTGGTCTTGGTTATGTGTGGTCTTAAATGTAGGTTCGTTTTTTTTTTGTTCGATATCAATTTATCATACTCTTTTTCTTTCAATTAAGAGTAGAGGGATTTTTAACTAGACTTTATCGATGTTCCATTTTATATGAATTTTTAATCATATAAAATTCCCTTTTCAAAAATAAAATGAAAAAATATAGACATGGTTATAATACGATTACCTTTAAATGTGTAAGAAAATTACACTACTATTTGGAATTGAGTAAGAGATATTTATCTTAATTTCGAATCTGAATTCATCCTCTCTATTTTTTAAGATCAAATTTTATTAAATTGAGTTAAATTAAAATCAATTAAACTCGGATTAGATTATCATCATATGTGTATCAAATAATAATTTAAAATAAATATATAAATTAAATTCGAACCTACATCAGATTTGGTGGGGAGTCGAGTTTAAAGATGCTTTTTCGGCGAAGGATTTTCGAAATTCCTTCCACGGGGAGCAACGACTTCCGTAATGGCCAATCACTCATCCGCTTGCCCAATCCTCTGCGCTTCTTTGAATCAAGACAACAGGTAAGTTTTAACTTGGAATTCTTCTTTTTTTCCTGTTTAATCATATATCTATTTTGGTTTCAACTTCGCAGTGGTTTTGCAATAAGCACTAAAGATGGTTTCAAAATAATCGATTCAAGCACCGGAAGGCTCTGCTACGAACGAGGTGAGTTAATTCCGCAAATTTTATTTGTTTTCATTTACCTGTTATTGATTTTCAACGAATGTGTTCCAACTTCCAAGCTTTTAAATCAAATATTTGATTTATTATTTGTCTTTTAAAATTTTGTTTGTTCGCTAGCTGCTGGAGCTTTCATTATTGTTGAGATGCTGTATAGTTCAAGTCTTCTCGCCGTTGTTGGGGCTGGTGAACAGGTGCTTCACTGAATCACGATACTCCTTTTTTTTCTTCTGATTTTTGAATTATAATTTAGCAGTCAACTGTGTAATGACTATGGATTACTATTGCTGCAGCCATCTTTATATCCACGTCGTCTCTGTTTGTTCAATACAATAACTAGTACTCCTCTTCGAGAAATGACTTTCCTAACTTCAATTCTCGCTGTTCATTTGAATAGGACAAGGTAAAAAGAACTTTCAAGCTCCATAATGCCCTCATTTGGATATTTTACTGTATATTCTTCATCCTTTTTATGAATGGATTTAAATATTCAGTTTTGACCGGATATAAGATAATATTTATTATAGATAACTCAAAAAATTTTTAATAGACTGAGATAGTTATAAGATAATATTTATTTAGAATTTTTTTAATCATTCACAACATACATATTATAGACACAATTACTTAAATCTAAAACCTCTAAATAAATAACAATCTCTTTAGATCACATTCTTAGTAATTATTAAAATTTTAAAATATATATATAAAGGGCTGAGGTTTGGAACTAGCACTGCAAGGCTGCAACCATAGCTATTCATAATCGAAACCCAAAACTATTGTGTTCCTTGTGCAGATTAACTTTTGGAGATTTGATTATATATTTATTGGAAATGGATAGCATGGGGTATGAATATGATGATTGGAGTGGAATGGAGTTAAGTAGGCGTCGAGTTCTTCAACAGTTGATCCTCATGCAACCTCTGGTAGAGGAAAATTAGACGTAGATATGAGCAAGCTTAGACCTGAGGAACGCCATGTTTTCATACAGAAGCTTCTCAAAAACATCCAGAAAGATAACCTTGAGTTGTTGCACAAGACTAGACAAAGACTCGACAGGTGAATTGTAACTCCATATCTATTTATATTCAAAGTGACATCAAATCTAAACTGGGTTTTGTGTTTGTTTTGCAGAGTTCAACGTGAACAAGACCATAGTTCAACGTGATCTGATTCTTTTTTCTTATTATTCAATGGCACTAAACTAATGAGGCCGGCACAGTTCGTTAATAGAGTTTTTGTAAAATAAATAAATAAATTTTAATTATCTAAAATAATAGTTATATAAAAATAAATATGTATAGAAAGTTCATTATTATATATGATAATTTTTCATATAGAATAATACATGTTCGATTTTTTTAGTGAATAAAAAAAATTAAAACCAAATCCAACTAAAGTGTATAAAAGATAATAAAAGCATATTATTTTAAATTATAAAAAGCTTATATATAAATGCATTTTTGTACTTAAACACGTATTAATCTTACTATACATCTAAGTGGAGCTTTAGTTTGATTGCAAGCTGCAATATGCAATAGAAAATGTAAAGCAAATCTATGAAATTATCTTGGTCATAAAATATTAAATTTATTGCTATGACAATAAGTAATATGGAACATCCATATATAATGTGTTGATGGAATATATAAGAAGATTTGTGCGAGTGTTTGTGGATTGTAATAGGTAATTGGGGAGATTTCTTACAATGGATACAAGCTAGAGGAATTTGTTCCCCGGAAAACTTCGGCATATATAAGCCAAGATGATTTGCACACCCCGGAGATGACGGTCAGGGAAACACTCAATTTTTCGGCCCGTTGTCAGGGTTCAGGCAGCCGAGAAGGTGATCTTTCATTTATCACCAAACTAGCATTCACCTGTAACTTAAATACCCGATGGTGTCCGAAATAACATTCGTTTTACGGTTATGAAGAACTGATGGAGAAGGTCAGCAGAAGGGAGGAGCAAGCAGGCATTGTTCCAGATCCAGGTATAGATACTTATATGAAGGTACATTTAAACATGGTAATTTATATGTTGGCTCGTAATACCAAATTCAGTCGAGAATAATACGGTTAACTTCGGTTTCACAGTACAGGCTACATCCATGAAAGGGGCCAAGGGAAATCTTCAAACGGACTACATGCTAAAAGTAAATTTTGTTTATTGCATAATATCCCTAATAGAAAGAGACAAGCGTATTGATGTTGCTTTGGATTGGAGAAAATCACTCATAAAAAAGTGTTTTATGCTATTTATTGCATAATCATATTCCATGATTTTGCACGATGCATTAATTCTTCTTCTATCTTGCACGTTGTACTCGCATTATTTTATTGTCTTAGTGGTATGCATTCCTTTTGTGCTTAATACTATTTTTCGAATTATTTTTCTTATGATTTATCTCTTAAGCAATGTATAGTGTTTGAGTCCTAAAATTAAAAATAGTATAAATTAGACAGGGCGAGTTGTCCCTGTAATGAATATTTGTAATACCCGATTCAGATAAATCGATCAATGGACCGAATAATGGTTGTTATGGAAAAAAAAACTAAAAGATAATGGACCTAATCGCCATAATCTACTACTCTAGTGACAAAATAACATATTTATGCAAACAAACTACTGGGTAATTTGCAAAACATCAAGGTTTGCATCGTCTTCTTTAAAAGAGAGGCCCTGAAAGAATCTCATAAATCAATCTTGAAAGAAAGGGTGCGGAGTAAGGAAAATATTTTCTCACATAGCTAAGGTTTTTCCAAAATTTGTTTCATCTATCACAACAACGTTATCATCAGTAGACTTGATTGAAGAAGAGAAGGAAGCTTCAAGAAAACGAAAAAAAACAGGACAAAACGCCTACCTGTTGTAATGATTATCATATGATTAAAAAGAGATTAATAGTGGGCACTAATAATTGGTTGAACTCACCATGCCAGAACCAGCTTAAGGCAAGAGAACACTTCCCAAGCATGTAGCCTAAAAATGTTTTTACTCAGTTCTTCAATTTTTTTTTCTTCTCGATGCTATTTCCAAGGCCCAAGCTTTTCCAACATCAGTCTGGAACTTCCCTGCAAATATGTTAAGTACCCATATTAGCAGTTCAAATCAAATTTGCTCATGAATAATGCAATCTCAAGGAATAATGCAAAGTTATTTGTCTAAGATGAACAACTAAGCATGTTTAGGTTCAATAGTTTATATAGGTTTAATAACAAAGAAAAGTAACAAATTTGACTGGAAATTTCAATAGTTTATAGGCTGAAATTTCAAGACAAAGAAAATTACACACCGGCAGTTGACTGGAAAAACTCATCCAAGTCCACCCCTTGCTCTGCATAAGTCCAGAAAAAACACATTAGTTTCCATGAAACTCATTAACAATGAGTAATGGCTACATCGATTAGATAGAGCTTAATTTGAAATGACAAAGGGTGCAAATTTTGAAAAATAAATAATTTAAAAGGACAATATATCCTGATTTTATTGAATCATTAGACATGTTTCCACAGCATATAAAATGCATGCACCAAAAATGTCCATTAAATCGATATGTGCACTGAAGAGCTGGTGTGACACTGCAGTTGCATAAATCTATCGGCCACAAATCTAATTTAATGTACGCAAGAAAGCTTTAAATGTAAGTAGAACGACTAATAAAACTAAAGAAAGGTAGTTCGAACTTAGAAGTTCACAACTGATAATCTATTACGATGATCCTGTATTTGTTGACCAAACTATATGAGCACATAGAGACCAAGATGCAGGGGCAGACAAGAATATGATGACACAAATCCCAGCAGAATACAAGAGATGCACTCGCACGTAACAGCTGGGGGAAAAAAACATTAAAACCAGCTTTTCAACTACACTGCCTTAAGTTTTCCACACTATTTTTCCTGTTTTCTTTAATCATTTTCCCGAGTTTGGCTCTCATTCTCAGAAAGTTATAGCTTATTCTGGAGAAATGGTTAAAACTATTTTACGTTCCTGTAAACCATATGTGTAAGGTGAATTACCATTACAATCAGATCATAAATACTGATGCTTATGCAACTATGCAATGTACACTATAAAGGAAAAAATAAACCGAGAACAAGAAACCTTACCGTTCTCATATTCCAATGCTTGAAGTATCATCTCCACCTTCATGTGACAGGACAAGCCAACATCAGATTAAACAGCATTTATCAGCCTAAGAAAATTTTACAGAACTAAAAACATGTTTAGATGTAGCCAGCGATAAAAGTCACCAACATCAGTTGAACTGAGATTAACTTAAAGTAATTTGAGGTCTAAATGCTATAATCAAAGGATAACAAAACTGGATATACATAGAGATTGGTGAATTAAAGAATAAATCACCACATGTACAGAAAATGAGATAAGCTCGCCAACACAAATAAGAAGAATATTGAATGAAAACAGAACTTACAACTAAGGGTAACAAAACCATTCTTATTTCTATCATACAAGTAACTAAGCATGCTATTAAGTTGTTGATTCTTCTATTCTTGGGCATAATATAAGTATAAATAAAAAATACTAGCGAGATGAATTCACATTTAATATGTATCTTTCAAAACTAAATTCACTTGATATGTTCCGGTGTGTTGATAAATCATGAATATGAAAAATATGCATATGCTACACACCTTGTCAAAGTCTTTGACAATTTTGGCTTCAGAGGAAGAATTTTCTTCATACTCCATCCATAATTCAGCTACTTCTTTAGCTGCAATCAATTAAACCAAAAAATTATGTGGAATTATACATCATTATGAGATTCAAGCTCAACCCCAATCTCCCCTCCCTCCCTCTCTTTTCATAAACATTTCTAAATGACAAGGGAGAACAATTAGTTAACCTCTAGACCCTCCACCAAGTAATTTGCACATATGATCTAAGGCTTCGCGCTCTCTTCGACTCTTCTCATCCTTAGATATACCATCTGAAGGGGTAATATCACCAACGATGGCTGTTCAAAAAAGATAAATAAACCCAAAATAACGATTACGGTATGTTAAAAATCACATTTATTTATAAAAAAAATCAAAATTCAATTCATTCAAATCTCAGCTGAAAAGACACTTTATTTATCTGACCTTCAGCGATATCATGAACAATTGTCATTTTAACACACCTAAAAAAATACGGGAATTAAAAAAAAGCAAAAATATATTAGTCAAAGAATGAACTGAAATTAGAGAAATCTTAGGGGGGGGGGGGGAAAGGTAGTACAACTAACTTGTCACGATCAATTCCAGGAATATCAGAAGCAATTAAAGCCATTAATCCCATTCGACACATATGATCAGCTATGGATTCCGGATTCTGTACATCTCTCCGCACCCAACCCGTTCGCTTCGTCGTCTATTCGTTAAAATTTATTCAAAAACCAGTCATGAAATAAATAAATAAATTGTTTAAAACTATTAGGCAGAATTCAAATTTAACTCATGAAGTATATCATTTCCATTTGTACCTTAATTATTTAAAACTATGCCAAACTAAAAGAAATTGTTTAATAAATACCTTGAGGCTGTGACAGAGAGTAAGAAAATCGATGGCGGAAGAAGCCGAGGAGGGAGCAGCCGCAGCCGCAGTCGCAGTCGTAGCGGAAACGACGTCACTGGAAGAGGAGGGAGGTGGAGGATTGATATCGTTACCGTCGGTGACGGAGGAGAAAGATGAGGAAGACATTCGGGGAAGTGTAAAGGCAGGCGGTGCGGGTGAGGAATGATTTGAAGTCGAGTCGAGTCGAGTCGAGTCGAGTCGAGGAAGTGAAAGAAGGGACTAGGAATGCCACTGAGGAAGCCGATGCTCTACAAGGAAACACTAGTTGGCTCCCACTCTCCAATTTTTTTTCTCTTTTCTTTTTTAGATCTTCTAATTTTTCGATTTTCTATTAATTAATTCGTTGCGTTTGCGGGAAATATCAAAATTTTATTCTTAAATAATGAACAATTTCTATAATTTAGACTAAAATATTCTTAAAATAATATTTTTATTCATATAGATCTTACTCTTTACTCACTCAATATTTAATTGTAAATATTTATAAATAATTTAAATTTATTATTTAAATTTTTTTATCAATTATAAATTTATTATTATCGACTACCAGATCAAATTTATTTTCTAACATAATTGAAATAACATAGTGTATTTAGGTTTTTTTAAACGTGTATTTAGGGTTTTTTAAACGTGGAGCTTTTTCTCTTCTTTTTTTTATTTTGAATAAAGAGAAGACTAAACCATAGCGTTAGACATGAACATGTTTAGAATAAGGAGAAATGAGTAGTTAGGTTTTTAGATGCCAAACGATGATCAGACGATAGATAAAATTTGAGACGCAATAGAACTTTTGGATATACGATTAATAACTATGTTATATTTATGGGGTGCCCATATGATATCAATAGTTTAACTTTATTTACGGAAACATTGAATGATATAAACAAGACAAATGAAACACAAAAACGTAGAGTTTTCATATTGAAAATTGAAACCGCTAAATTACAAGAAGACATATATACACAAGATAAATGGAACACAAAAACGTAGAGTTTTCATATTGAAAATTGAAACCCCTAAATTACAAGAAGATATATATATATATATATATATATATGGATGCGGACGAAGGGCTTTATATTAAAGGTAAACTTTTAAATTTTAAGAAACTAACAAATTTATAAACTTTTAAGAGTGAATAAAGAAAAATATATACAATACATTTAAATGTATGATAATTTTAAATTTTTTAAAAAAATATTATTTTCACCTACCACGTCGATCCTTTCCTTAACATATGTCCTAATAAGTACAAGCCGAAGTAATTATAAAAAAAATAAACATGAGGATGAGGTGAAAAAAAATAGAAATGAATACGTTGATATACGATGCATTTAAGACATATGTATGAAAGTTAGGCATAAGTTGCATCCATCTGACAGACGGTGATTTTAACAAAATGACATGAGTTAGCATTACATTACCGTCTTCAGCTGGTCACACTAAAGCCAAGGTATTTGTCCACGATCTGCTTAACATTATCCCACTCTTTCAATAATATCAGGCAGCAAGATTAGGACCTTCGTAATGTATAATATACATGCGTCAATAATACTTGACGTGAGTCCACATCTTCACTTCATTTCTAGTAACCTCTTCAAGCTTTATGTGACTTTCTACCTCACCTACTCTCAAGATAATTTTCATATTATAACACAATATTATGTTGATGAAATATTATCTTAATATTGGTATGGGATTAATCCAACAGTGAAAGTTGAAGATTGGAGTCGATGTTTATGGAATCACTTTCCTGGAAAAGGTTGGTTTGCTTAATGGAATCAAATTTGCTCTAATTAAGGATGTTAATCACCAACGGAACATGCCCACATGTTCACCAATCAAATAAGGACCCCACAAGTTTTGTCGGTGAGATCTTGACCTGTCGATACATTTAAAACAAAAAACCAGCGCACGTCGTACCCCACTATACGCAACATTTATCTTCTTCCACACACACACAATGCTTCGGATTCCTTCTTACAGAATCCTAGTTAAGGCATAAAAGCAAAAGGAAACTAAAATAATATAATGGATAATTTCAACGGAAAGAAATAATGGGCGATGGAGCGAACAGCCGAGCTGGTTATTGACAAGTAAGGAAAACATCAGGGCTGAATGCGATATGACGCTTGAGGTCTTTACAGCGGGAGAGAGAGTGGGTCAGAAAAACCCACAGTTTTAGCCGAATCGAACGGCTGCCGTACGATTTTCATCTCTTTCTTTTCAGAAAAACCCACGGTTGCCCCACCACCACTCACCAGTCTCTTTCTTCCTTAGTTGTCTCTATTTACTTTAAAATTAACACCGCGAGTAATCCCCGGATGTCAGTCTTCCACAGCATTAGAGAGTCATCGAAAGAAATGAAATTTAAATAATAATGAAGAGAAACTCAGAAATTAATGCAAATCTTTGAACTTTACTTGCAAGGAAAAGAAGAACAAAAGAAAAGATGAACAGGGGTTAAGTTTCCTTTCTTTTTCACTGCCCACCCAAAGCAAAGAATTTGATCCTTTTTTTTTCTTCATTGCGTTTCTATTTCATTTATAACGGGAAACTTGAAGAAATTACTTACATTTAAAAAAAATAAAAACAGGGAAAATTAAATTTTATTGCAAACCTTTGCGGTTATTATAACCATAATAAGATAAATACCATCTAACAAATTTCTTTAACCCGGTTTGCAAATCGGTTGTGGGTTTGTACCCGAATGCCCTTTGGGCATAACTGATGTTCGCGTGGGTGAACGGAACGTCGCCGTTTCCTGGCATATCTATGATATTCCTCTTCGCCTTCACCTTCAAATGTCTCTCCAGGATGTTCACCAACTCCGGCACCTTAACCGGCGACGTATTGCCCAGATTGAATATTCTGTACGGTGCGTTCCCTTTTTTCTTCCCGCCGGACCCGGTACTTTTCCCGGATGTATCCAATGAACCCAAACAGCCCTTTACGATATCATCAATGTAGGTGAAATCCCGCGCCAAATCGGCCCGATTCTTTCCCCGGTATAAGGTGATCGGTTTGCCTTGCAAAATATTTCTCGTGAACGAAAAATACGCCATATCGGGCCTTCCCCAGGGACCGTACACGGTGAAGAATCGCAATCCTGTAATTGATAGACCATAGATGTGATTGTAAGTGTGGGTGATTTCTTCGCCGGCCTTTTTCGTGGCGGCGTATAAACTTGCCGGCTGATCGGTCCTGTCGGCTTCGGAGAAAGGGACCTTATCGTTCAAACCGTAAACGGAACTGGATGAGGCCCAGACGATTGCCGGCTGGGGATTAGCGGATTTGCAGACCTCGAGAAGCGTGACGAGACCGGCGATGTTGCTGTGAACATACGAGTTGGGGTTTTCCATGGCGTACCTGACTCCGGCTTGAGCTGCTAAATGCATCACGTGAGTAAAAGCCACCACGTCGAAGAGCTTAGCCAAGAGTTTGACGTCGTTCAAATCACCTTCGACCACAAAAACGCCATGGCTGTTGAGAAGCGATCTCCTGGCTCTCTTCAACGAAGGGTCGTAATAGTTATTGAAGTTGTCAAGCCCAACAACACCATCACCCCGTTTTTTCAGTGCGAGTGAAACGTGTGTCCCTACAAAACCAGCCGCGCCGGTCACCAGAACGGACATCCCACCGGAACGATGGATCTGAGCAGAGTTACGAACTTGCTTCTCCCACTGAATACCACCCCACGAAGCACTAAAACACCGGCTACCGGAATCAACGAAACTCTGGAAACTCAAATACGACGCCGTCAATGCTATCAAGAAAAGAGCCCATAAGAACATGGTGCTGGTCGAAGCGAAATAACGATGGAATTGACGGTTCATACTTTGCCCTCTGTCGATCTTGAACTTCCCTGGCGTCGACGGAAACAGCTCCTCCTCCAAGGACGGCATTGTCGTACTAATTTATATTTCTAAAACTTTTTTCCTTTCTTCAAAAAACAAAATTTTATCGAAATGACTGGATTATTAGCAGATCAAAATGATAAGAAAGAAAATGAGACTATTTTTATGTTAATTTGTAGAGAAAAAAAGAAGAAAAGAAAACAAATGAAGAAAAAAAGGAAGAGAGTTATAATTTTCCCTGCACCTGCTTATCGTGAGAAGGCGATGAAGGGATTTATATATAGTGGTCACCCACATATCATAGGTACGATTGATTGACTGTCATTTTTCTAAAATGTTTGGCCTTCTGCATTAAATTAATAGCACTAATGTAAAATAATTGATAAAGTAAGAACGGAGGAGGGAGGACACATTTGTTTTTAAAATAGGTAAAATATGTCTAAATTTATTAAATTAAATGATCGATGATAAATTAATCCTCAATTATATAATATATTAATCTGCTTATAATTTTAAAATAGTTTAATTAATTTGACCATTCACATATAAAATTTTAATTTTTTTCTCTTCTCATGACTATTTAGTCTTCTCCCATAAATGTCATATTATTTTCCTAGTACGATAATAATTTAACAATAATCTATTAGTGCTTTTATGAGGGAATACAATTGCCCAATTGTTATTATGAGGTCGTTTGGTTTGAAAATATAAAAAATTAAAAATAAGATTAAATATTAAAGGTTAAATTTATTAAATTATGATAAAATAAATAGGATATATAAATTTTAAAGATTAATAATATTATTTTTAATAACGAAATGATATGTTTATAATGATATCTAAATAAATAACTTATTTGTAATTTTCTTTTGAAAAGGTGGTTTTTTATAAAAACTATAATCGAGTAACTTGTAGAATATTTATCCTTGAAAATTATTAGTAGGGGTAGTTAGGGAATTCGGTGGTCAGAACATGGGGGCCATAATATCAGTTACTAATATATTATCTTACGCATATGCTGTTTAAATTATTGAAGATTATTAGTTTTAGTGCAAAATGAACTGATTACCGGAAGCAACGGTGGTGACTAGAAATGCAGAGTTAGGTGAGAAAACCGAAAGACTTTTGAAATAAAACAGCGGGTAATTAGCGATGGCTGGCGTATCCGGTGGATACGGCTGTCTGATCATTAACAGTCATGTGGGAATTGGGCGGTGCCCATTCTTTTATTTTATTTTATTTTATTTTCCGATCTATTTTCAGTTTTCTTAATTATTCTTCCTTTCCCCATTTCGACTATTTTATATATATCTAAATGTAATAAAAAATGAATAAATTTTAGTACTTTTTTATCTAATATTTTCCTTCAGTGTATTGAATTTCTAGATTCTCTGTTTCTGTGTGTGGGTTTAGGACAAGCTTGGTTAGCGAATTGCGGTGGTGGGGATCCACCTGCAAGAAAACAACTGAAAAGATGGATTTATTATTG